AGCTGAAAATTGCACCAATCGTGATATTTTATTGCAAATTCTAGAAGCTACTCGTCAAAATCAAGCCACTCTTCAAGAACAACAAACCACTCTTGAACACCAACAACAACAACTTGACGAAGTGCTTATGACTGTCACTCATATAAGTGAAGACTTTGAAGCCTTTCGAAAAGGCCATGAACCCCCTCCTCCTTCTACTTAGAACAAAATCACCTCGTCTAAAAACTCTTTTTGTGCACTCCCTTGTTTTATCTGCTTTAGAGAAGCCTTTTTTAGCTATGTTTTTGCTTATGTCATTTTCTTTTGAAGACTTTATCATGATCTATGCTTTTGTCTAACATCTGCTAGTTATGTTCATATTTTCTTTTTGTACTGTTTTGTCTTCTACAATCTATAAAATGACATATTTCCTATTTAATTGTCCTTTAAATTCTCATTCTCTAATAGTTCATGAAATGGCATGTATTTTCTCCTTCATAGAAGTAGACTTTTTGAGATGACAAAGGGGGAGAAAGATGTGTTCTATGCTATATGGTGTTTATTCTATTGCATTGCTATTTTGATAGACGCACATTGATAACATTGATAGGGGGAGACATATATATATATTTTTTCAAATATTTGTTGTTGACATAAATTCAAGATATGCTTATTGATAGGGGGAGCATTATTTCAAAATGCAACTCCACCTTGACAATAAACACATCAATGTTTTGTCATCATCAAAAAGGGGGAGATTGTTAGCCTAAGGATTTAATCTAAAGGTCAATCTTATATTTTGATGATTACAAACCATTAATGATGTTTATGTACTAATATTTTCCTTGAGTGCTATATAGTTGATCAATTAATTCAATCCTCAATAATGAGCCAGAAGCATTCCAAGTACTCAAGCAATGGATTCAAGGAAGCATTGAAGTTGCAAGAATTCAAAGATTATTCAACTACTCCATCAAAGGCTAACCGATCATGGTCAAAGATTGAAGAAAATGGTAGATTAGATGGTGAGAGCTTAAGATTTAATGTTAAAGTTAATTTAAATATATTTGAAGCTCAAAATTCAATCCATGCATTGCATTCCCATTTTATTTCTCAAAGAAAATAAAATCAGCTCATGATCACATTCACAGGACTTAAAGAATTTCATATTAAGTATCATAATGTGAGATGGAGAAGACTCCATAAAATAAAGAGAAGGCTTTTTTCTCTTATTCAGTGAGCTCTGAGAAGGTTCTTTTCTTTAACTCCAGTAAGTCTTTGAGAAGTATTTAAGAAAAAGAGAGGGCTCAATCAAAAGAAAGAGAGGGCTCTTCTTGTTCCAAGAAAGCTACGAAAATGGATCTTCAAAATAAAGAACAGGCTCACGTTTTTATTGAGCAGGCTCTTTCCAAGGAAAATGAACAAAGAGCAGGCTCTTTGGTTTTCAAGAGACGGCTCTCTTTAGGGTTTTGAACTGTAACGTAAACATTTTCATTAAATGTTCTCAACAACCTCTAACAGCTATATTGAACTCTGTTGATTCTATAAATACTGAGGTTGGTCTTCAAACTGAAAAATACTTTTACAGAGAACATTCTATCATTCCTTAAAAAGCATTAAAGAAGTATTCTGAGCTTTCATTCCCTCTCTGTTATTTCATATCACTGTAGTAATTCTGAGCTTCACGTATATTCATCTTTTCTATAGTTGTGAGCTAAACTCTGTAATCTATCTTTGAGAGATTCTTGTACACTTGTTTCTTCAAATTTCAAAGCTATTGTAAAGGGTTGGTGTAACCCAAAAGAAAGCCTAGGAGAAGGGTGTTCTCCTAGCAAAGAAGAGAAGCAAGATCTTGTTTCAAAAGTGAAGGTTTGCTCTCCACCATTAAGGAGAAGCTCTAGTGAATTTGGGAAGTCTCAAGGGGGATCTTGAGCCGAGGAGTAGGAGTTTCCGAACCTCGCTAAATCACCGAGTCATTGTTTGCAATCTCTTATCTCTATCTCTCTTATTTTTGTGCTTTATTTTGCTTGAATATTTCAATAAACTGATATTTAACAGTTTGGTAGAAATACAATTTTTAAATTGAAAAATTGATCCTTGACTCTATTCACCCCCCCTCTAGAGTCAATTAGTGACTAATAGGTGAGTTTCAACCGGTGCCGTCGTCGGATGGAGTTTTCTGCAACAAAAATGTATAGTTTGGGGGGTTTTTTTTTTGCAATTTTTGTAGTTCAGGGGGGTTTGTTGCTAATTGGCCAATAGTTCATGAGGGTTTTTTTGCATTTAACCTAAAAAAAGTGTGAAAGAGATTTTACATTTTTAAAAGTGGTAAAAATAATAAAGGTCAAATGCACTATTTATATTTAATTTGTCCAAAACTCAAAGGAGAGTTGTGTAATTTGCCTTTAAATTTTTATCTCAGTACGATAAGGTGCAAATTGTTGTAGTTTAAGGGAGCGTTGTCTAAAAACCTTAATGTTGCGTTTGGAGTGTAGGAATAGAATGTCCATTCTAACCAATCCTCTGTTTGGTATGCAATATAAAATGGGAATGGTTATTCCATTGGAATGAAAATTCATTACAGAGAATGAAAATTCATTCTACAACTAAACATATGAAATGTCAATTCCATTCCCAAGTAAATTTTTTCAAAAAATCAACTTCCCAAAAAATCCTTATGTTCTAAGTTCAAAAACCACCACTACCTTCCACCACAACCACCTCCACCTTTCACCACGACCACCACTACCACCGCCTTCCACCACCAACACCGCCACCAACTTTCACCACCGCCTACCGCTTTCCACCGCCACCGCCACCGCCTTTCACCACTGACACCGCCTTCCTTTATTACAACCGCTGCCGCCTTTCACCACCACTACCATCGCTACCTTCTACCACTATCTCCTTCCACCGCCACTACCTTCCACCACCGCTATCGTCTTTCACCACCTTCCATCACCACCACCACTGCCGTTGCCATCGCCATCGCCTTTCACCACCTTCCACCACCACCACCACTGCCGTTGCCATCGCCATCGCCTTTCACCACCTTCCACCACCACCACCACTGCCGTTGCCATCGCCACCGCCTTCCACCACCGCCATCGCCTTTCACCACCTTCCACCACCACCACCACTGTCGTTGCCATCGCCACCACCTTCCACCACCACTGTCGCCACTGCCTTTCACCATTGCCACTGCCTTCCACCACCATTGCCTTTCATTACCACTGCCACCACCATCGCCATCGTCTTGCACCACCGCCACCGCCACCGCCTTTCACCACCACTGCCACCACCGCCTTTCATTACCACCACCACCACCGCATTTCACCACCTTTCATCACTACTACCGCATTCTACCATCGCCTACACCTTCCACCACCACCACCATCGCCACTACAGTCACCTCCATTGGCTTCCATCATCACCACCTACACCATTATCTTCTTCCACCACCACAACCACAATACTACCACCGCCGCCTTCCACCACAACCGTCGCCACCGTAGCCTTCCAACACCACCACCTACACCACTACTGCTTTCCACCTCCACCACCATCCACCACCGCCACCATTTATTTTAAAAAAATTATAGAAGAATGTCATTTTGTTAATTCAATTTATTTTTTACTAACTGAGATATTTTGGAGAACTTAATTTGAAGTTTATTCTATTCTAAATTTTAAAATGATCCAACCAAATACTATAATGGTTATTATCATTCCATTCTTGCACATTTTATATTCACAACCAAACAAAAGAATGAGAATGGCCATTCCATTTCCACTTGCATTCTATTTCATTTCTGCACACTAAACGCAACATAAAAAGCTTAAAATCTCTACTCTATTAACTCTTGTTAACTTAGTTTTGTAAAAACTGTTCTTCAAAAATTAATCCAAGACGGTAAAAAAAAATGGTTTTTGAATTTTTGTAACTCTCAAAACAGTTTTATGTTTTGAGAGTTGCAATCCAAGCAAAGCGTAAGGGTTTGTTTGGTTTGTAACTATGAAAAACCGAGAACAGAAAATTGTACAAAAAATTTAACTTGGTTCAATTTTCAGTTATAGTTCTCTAAAAACTGTTTTCAAAGTTACAAATTAAGCATTCCTTATTTTTATTTTTATTTTTTTTTAAATTTCTGGTTAACCTGTGGACCTATTTCAAAGTTTTTGGAACTTGGGTTTTTTGTTTTTTAATTCAAGCTAATGCGATTTTTAATTCAAGCTAATGCGATACTAACTTGTTATTTTTAAGTGAGAACGAAATAATTTAGTGCACTGGACTATAATTATTAAAGTGAGATTGGGCGCACCATCGTATCAGTCTATTAGCATCACACGACACACGTGTGCTTGATGACAAGTGTGATACTTGTGAACTATTCGATTCACTATAACACATTATTGTACCATTGAGACCCTTTACTCATAATAAAATTAGTTATAACTTTCACGAGAGCTAAGTTGGCTCTCCAAGTGGATTAACTTTCATAGATACATAGTATTTAATTCTTAAAAAGTCAAAAATCTCCTTGAAGTATAAATTAAATTTTGCATATCACCACTCCAAGGAGAAGGTATCAGGCGCACCCAGCCCACACTGGGCTCATCCGAGTAGTACATGTCATACACACACAAACACACACGTGTCGTGTAAAAAATGACTTGAATGAGCTGAACACCGTGCACCCAATATCCATTCCACTCGAGTGTGAGTATACAGCATATAGCCTGTTTGCCCTAACCAAACAATCTGATTATATTCCTATAACTCTCCTGGCTCATGTAATCTAGAATTCTTTCTTCACATCACATCTTGAACCTGCTTCAAACTTGACATGCCCTCAGTAATCAACTTCAATTTGAGCTCACTAAAGTGACTTCACAGGACACACAAACATAATACTTTAGGCACGGCAACTATTAATATCCAGAGACTGAATTAACGTGAGCTATGGATTTAGTGAAGTAAATACTAAAAAAAAATGCCGGCATTCAAATGCGCAGAGACAGAAGAACAAGAAAGCTTCTAAATGTCAAGAGAGTAAGTATTAACGCGCTAAACATAAAATTTCGTGCACTGTATCACATCCCTTCCAAGCTTTCTAAATGCAGCATAGCACTTTACACATTCATGGATCTCCATTAGACAACCACAAGGAAGAGAGAAGGCATGCATCAGAAGGAATCCTGAAAATCCATATCCATCCACTCTGAAGCATTCAAGCACGAGCTAAGAAAAGTACAAAAGAGAGTAAATGAGCAACAACATACATGAGAAACAAACCTAAACGTACAAGTTCCTCTCAAGATGCCGAAGCCTGAGTCAGCGAAGCATCACCAAAGGACGGGAGAAGCCACCCTTTTGCCTTGGCTTGTTCTAAGTAGAAGTTGAATTTCTCTTCTGCATTTGGAATGTCGAGAGCCAGATCATCGAGCCCATCCTGGATCCGGGCAAAGCCTTTGGTCATCTCATTAATAGTGATCAGCCCTTCGCTGAAGCACTCCTGAAGCAGATTCAGCATCCTATCATTCTTCTTCTCCATTGCCATAACCAAAGCCTTCTTTACTACCTCGTGGTTGAAGAATGGCATTCCAATATCACGAATACACTGGCAAGCTTCAGCTACTACACCCCCACTCTCGTATTCCTCGAGGAGCTTCATGATCTTGTCCTTTGCATCCTCTACCGCCCAGCCAGTTCCACCTCCCCAGCACCTCAATATCCTCTCACCGGCATGACGCGCAGCTATGAGTGACCGAGCCATATGCACAGTCTCACTTCCGCTGCAATTTGCTGGCAACTTGCTGCCAATCTCCTCTAAATTCAGTGGAGCCAAAACGTCATCAATCACCGCCCTAGCCAAAAAAAAAGCAAGTTCATTTGAAGCATCCAAAATATCAAGTGCTGTATCTTCTGCAGATTCCAGAAGCATGACAAAACCGTTAACTATATCATCAGTTGAGAAGATCTCAATATGAAGAGCAGATAGCAGAGCAGATGCCATCTCTTTTTCTCTGTTCTTCCTATCCATAGCAAGAGTGATCAACTTCTTCAAGCATATTGGGTTGAACTCAGGTGCCCCAAGATCTTCAAGACTCCGGATAAACTCATGAATGTCATCAGAGAGAAAATATTCATGAATTATTGTCACGATCTCTTCCTTATATCGCCTGACCTTTTTGTCATTTTTGTCTCCTACCTCTCCATCTTCAACTGGGGATTTCAAAAATGACGAATCAAGCCAACCTTCAGAGATTGCCTGGGGGATCAGCGAATAATATAATGTTTTTGCATTTGGAATATCTAAAGCAAGGTCATCAAGGCTCTCAGCTAACCGAGCAAACCCTTTTATCATTTGACTGGAACTTATCAGTCCTTCCTCTGCAGTTTCCTTTAATAGCTTCAGTATGAGTGGTTCTGCTGTTCGGATTTCCATGCCAAGAACTAAAGCCCTCTTCACAACCTCATGATGAAAGAATGAAACTCCCAACTGCCTGATGCATCTACATGCCTCAGAGGTATCCCCGTTCTCCACATATTCCCTTAAGAGATCGGCAATCTTTTTCTTCACTTCCTCTACCGTAATATGGGTGCTCCCACCCCATCGCCGCTCCACAAGTTCTGCATGGTGTGGAGCTGAGAGATAACTTTTCTCTGCAGTTTGAATAGCCTGATATCCCTTCGAGGATTCTGGCAATGCTTTCTTTGCCCTGTTGATAAAAGCTGGGGGTAGGATGTCATCAACCACAGCACGAGCAATGAATAAAGCAATAATGTCAACTGCATCCAGTATGTCCACAGCAAGATCATCAGCAGACTCGAGAAGCATGACAAACCCCCGGCTAATCTGGGCTGAGCTGATAACATCAGCATATAGAGCTGAAAGCAGAACTGAAGCCATTTCCTTCTCTTTGTCATGCCTGTCCATGGCCAGGGAAACAAGCCTCTTAATGAAGTAGGGAAGATATTCACTTGAGCCGAGTTCTCTGAGGTCGGATGCTGCCAATTCCACGTCACCAGTGCTAAAGTATTCCTCTATAAGGGAAACCACAGCTTTCTTGTATTCATCCAAAGGATCACACACAGTTGATCCAATGAGCTGATATGGTTCCTGCTAATATCAAGGATAAGAGGAAAGTAATACAGGTGATGCTAATATTCATGGTTAAAATAACATATAGAAAAAACAATAACCCCGTTCCACTATAAGAGAAAGTTCCTGAAAATTAGCCTCTTGAGAGAGAATAGTCCAGCTAACTAATCAGGATAGGTGACTCATAAGATGGGAACGATTAATTAAATTGAAAGCAGCAACTACCTCGTCACTGTCGTAGTTAGGATCATTTCGGTCAATACGAGATTCACCATCAGTGTCCAGTAGTTTCCCCCAGGTGCCCTTTCCCCCGCCACCATCTGTTAATATTGATCAAGTGTAGCTAATTAATACAAATAGGGAAAAAAAAGAATGCAGCTCAGAAAACTATTAAGATTAAAAAAATCGAATACTTAAATCCGTAACCAAAATGAGGAACAGATACGAGGAAAGCAGGGTTTCCACTCTGCGCCAGAATTCAATCCATACACATAGAAGCGAAAAGGGAATGGAAAACAGGGGAAACAAATTAAAGTAGGCATTCCATCAACACAAATGATTCAAGTAATAGATAACTTTATAAGGTTTATTCCTTCAAGTTCTATACAGGCCAATTTACAAATTATGCAATTAGTTTCAGCACATATCTGCATCAAAATTTGACTTCATGAACATTCTGAACTCATGCATAGAGTACTTGAATAATCCAAAGCCTATAGAATAGAAAGCCGGATGATAGGGCAAACCTGCAAAAATAATATAGATACAAAGAAGAATAATAATCGTCAAAGGACTACCAGTATGACAAAAGGTCATACTGAACAACACATTCTGACCAGAACATATATAAAAAGGAGTGAGCTGTTAAAGCAAATTTCAGTGTTACGACATTTCTTAGCAATAGAACAAATGACTTGTTTGCAACATACATTATAAAACAATTAGGTAACTACCAGTGGTTAGGAAAAGATTTGGTTGAGCTGAGTTGTGTTCGGAACAAGTAACTGACCTGTTTGCAATATACATTGTAAAAAACAACAAAAAGAAGATTGTCACTTATTTATTTTTTTATAAATAAGAAAATATGTCACTTATCAACAACAACAACAACAACAACAACAAAAAAAAAAGTAAAAATATAGTTATATACCATTAATTTTGTGTTGAAGGACTTCAGCAAGAACCAAAATTATATACCATTTATTTTACCAGGTGTCTATGGCCCAATATTAAGACTCACACATAATCTGTATCCATATCAATGGAACACCATTTGAGTGATCATAACAGATCAGCACCAAGGAGCATGTTCAATTTCACCGTTCGTTCATCATATAAGTATCAAGTTCCTTGCTTGCTGGGTGATATGAAACCCATAACAAATCAGAATAACATTCTAATCACTTCCACATTCATTTCTAATAAATCCAATAATGATTCTACAGAAGCATTGAATAAGACGACCTGAACACTCTATGCTTTCACACATGCTATGTAGCTGCCAGCAACTAATAGAATAGAACAAGAACCAGCATCTATATTAGCATTAGACAACTTTGTGTAATGAATAATTTTCCACCTTTGTAGAACAGAATAAGACAAAACCAGCTGAAGGCAAAAAGAGGATTGAAATTGCCATTCCTCACATTCTATAAACACAAACAATTAACAAATATGTGACACACCTTGGCCAATGCAAAAATAGTTACTATTGACTAATAGTTGAGGGCACATCACAAATAAAAGCAAGGTGTCTTGTGTCAGCATGCAAATTATGGACGATTCTATACAAAGTAGGTTTCTAGGATATATGCTCCTGAAAGTTTCTAAAACTTAGCCAGCTATAAGCCATAAAATTCAAACTTGGAAAAAAAAATACAGATGTAACTTACTGTCCGCCTACCTAGCTCACCTATTAGGAAACTAATATTAAATCGCAACCTAATTATAATCTCCATTTCTCATAAAAAATAGTCCCCATGTAGGAGCACAAAAAAAATTACATGTACACAAATGAGAGAAATGTTTATTTAACAGCTTAGGTAACTCCAAGATATGCTTGCATTAAAATTAATTTTAAAAAAATGGTGACAAACTGACTATTACATAAGAGTCATGCGACTAGAGGTAAAGCATGCATGTGTATAGTAAAGGGTGGGTGTGTAGTCACACTTCAGACGCATTTGAATCCCAGAACCACAGCCTGGATTCAATCTCAATCTCAACAAATGTAGGAGGAAGGTCATTCCCTCAATTCTTTCAGAAAGGCTGGAATCAGGACCTCCACTTTCCTTTGACCAACAGGTCCTGAAACCAACCTGTCCTCCCTTTCTCTCTCTCTCTCTCTCTCTCACACGCATCATTATTCTTATATTGACAAAGAAAGTGTCCGTGAGCCATAAAACATATAGAGAGGGCCAAATCAAACTGGAAAGAGAATTATGTGCTGGGCAATTCTTTGAAATAGAAAGGCAAATTTCGATGTCAGATTACGAAAATAACAGAGAGATGGGAGTCCTCTGTTTAAAATGCAGAAAATCAAATATCCCATACGAACAGACAGAAAAGAGAGGTGTACATTTTGCAGCACCATCGCTTTTCTCTTTAATCAATAACAGAAATGAAACCTCCTTATCTGCACTAAAATTATACAAGTAGGTATCTGTACAGACAGTTTTTTATACACCATGTAAACAAGTCATGTGATACACACCTATGACAGGCACAAAGATCACTAAATTCAGCACTACCACATGGCAAATGGCTTACACAAAACTATAACGTTATACGAGAACTAAAAATCATCACATAACACAGGAGAATGTGCTATTTTATGAAGCAAGGATAATTATCTAAGGGAGACATAACATTATTGTACACAATACTCGGTTATGAAGCATAATAGATAGGTTGAAGGAGACAAGAAAGTAAGTGGGAATGCCAAGAAGATGACATGGGTGGCTGGGCTGGTAATTTGTGGCTGTGAAGTGAGAGAAAGTGGATGGTTGAAGGAGACGAGAGAGAAATGAGAGAAAAAAATCAGGTGCTGGAGGAAAAACTTAAATCTTCTCGCTAGTGAAGGAGCTTGCGGTCAGTGCAGGAACTCTTCCCTAGGGCACAAAATGTGTTTAGTGTTTGGAGGGCAAATCATGATTCGAGCTATAGGACCAGAGGGTATTGTTTTTGTTTTTCAATCTCATATTATTTTTTATACCCATAATACATTTTAAAATTGCATTCGAACCCTTTTATTAAAAATGCAAAACTACCTATCGTGTCCCACGTCCTTGTCTAGTCCAAGCCAAATACATATTTATCCAAGCTCCAGGATACTCCGTAGTCATGATGAACACGCATGCGGCTGTGTCCCAAGCATGTTCATGTCGGACACGTGGCCGACACTCCCTAGAGGAGTGTTTGTGCTTTCTAACTCGGATACTCGCAACTACATGACGCGATAATCCCTGAAAGTATCCATAATCTGAAATAAATTTTTTATTTCGAACATGTATCTGCTACTAGTTAGCTACTTTGGTCTAACCAGTATCTAATACTTCTTAGATACTTATGAACATAAGTCAAACAAATGTTCAACATTTAAATGCAACTTCTCTAAATAGAATATCCTAATACAAATGTTAGAAAAGGTATAACAAGGATTAAAAATACTCGAAACATGTTTAGCAGTGTGGTTGGTAGGCTAAAAACACTTTTAATTTGATATTTCATTTTTGATAGTGTTTGGTGAAAAAATAATACTTATGCCCTGTTCGGTAGGAAAGAAAAAAATTGGATGAAAGGGAGAGAACAAGGGATGGATGTGACATCCCTAGGGAAGAGATTATGTATTTCCTTCTTTTTATTCGATTGGATAGAAGAGAAGAGAATAAACTCATAATTTACCATGTTTGTTAAGAGAGAAGGAAAGAGAAAGTTTTAATTGTTTTAAAGATAGTATTGTAATTTAAAACTTGTATAATTTCGGAAAGTATTTAATATTACACTTCTATAATAGTCCACTTGTCTTCCCTCCTTTTTTTCCGCCCATTTTTGGCGGATGAATCTCTACCGAACAAAGAAGTTCGTTCCTTCCTATTTTCTTTCCACACCTCTTCCTTCCTACCGAGCACAGCATTGGTCATTAGAAATTTTGACCTAGAAGTAGATGTATAAGTTTATATATTTAAATGTACCTCCTCGAAATAGAAAAGGCATAACAAAGATTACAAATACTTAGAGCATGTTTAGGATTGTGGTTGGAAGGGCTAAAAGCATTTTTATTTTGAAATTTCATTTTTTATTGTGTTTGGTAAAAAAAAAAAAAACTAGTACTAAAGTGTAGAGATTTTGACCCAGTAGAGCTTTTAGACGAAACTCAAATGTATAGTTTTCTTCAAGTAGAGGTAAAAGTTTATGGAGAGAGTCTTATTTATGTTGAAAATAATATTTATGAAAAGTATTTGACATATTAAGCCACTAAATACTATTTGATCTTCAAGAAACAATACTATAAAAAAAGGCTATAGTTAGAACAAAACCAAACATGCACTTGGAAGGTCTTCAAGGAAAAAAGAGAGATACAACACCCCATCAATTTAACTCTTGAACTTGTTTGTTTTGATTTTCCATACGCTAGTAATAATGTACATGCAGCATGACAAATAATCATCGCTTTAATTTTAGACATAGATACGTTTATTTGATCAATTTATGCATAGATAGATAAAATTGATTTTGCTACAAATCTACAGTAAATTGGCATGTCCTTGCCTCGTCTCTATCTTATTTTTCAAGAATCCATATCCCGCATCCATCTCCATGCTTCATAGGTGCAACTTAAGAGAGTAGAATAAAATACAAATCTATATAGGCATCAAATTAATTGCTACTACAACCAAACAATTGATTTATAATTAGCTAGTCTAAACTCACTGCTGGCTCAAACTACCAAGCGAAACCTATTTATAAGGGTCTATGATTACACATGGAAAATAGTGATTATCAGTCAAAAAATTACAAAATTCAACAAAAGAACATAAGAATACAGAACATAATTAAAAAAAATCCAGATTACACATTGAAACAAAATAAATTGGAATAAATAGAAGCAGAGGCAAATGTAAGGGCATAAATAGGTTACAAAATTCCTTCCGCACAGATAATTCTAGACCTTAAATCGTATGCATCATTGCAACGACTTCAAGAGCCGCAAAAGAAACGTAAATAAAAATAACCAATGAACAGTAATAATAGAATCATAATACGCAAGAACTTGAAGAAAGCACCAACCCTTTTTCACTCTTATAACCTTCCCTGAGTGCGTCCGCCGCACATGCCTCACAGCAATCCCAGCCGTCGGCGCCTTGCCTCCTGCCGGCACTTTAATATGATGTTCGGAGAGTAGAGTCGTCGGGGATTTGGGACTAGGCGATTTCAGAGTCGGGGATTTCGGCGACGACGACAAAATATCTGCATTTATTTTCAACACTTCCCTCTGCTCATCCGTCAGAAACCCCTCTTTGGATGCCATTTACACTAATCCTAAACAAAAAAATTGATAAAAATAAATAATAAAAATTAAAAAACATTAAACCAATTGCGTTTGCATTTTATATTGTCATTACGAACATAAAACTTGAAAATCAAATAAATCAAAAAAATATAGTGAATGTATTGTTGAATTTGCTCAGTTCTTTACCTCTCTGCACTTCGAGTGAAGAGAGTAAAACTTTGAGTGTGATCTAACCTACCACTGAACTTGCACAGATCTTCCTCCAACAAGTTATTCTGTTCTTGGCTCGGATCTCGAGCCAAGACAGGCGAGAGAAGGACGGAACCAATTGAATCGGATCTTCGAACAAAGAAGACGATCGAAGAGAGAGAAACACAGTCGGAGAAACAATAGATCAACGGAAACCTAGAGAGAGAAAGCGCGCTGCGAACGGTGTCTCCCGATTCGAATTTGCTCACATATATGTCTCTCTCTGTATATGCTTGTATCTATCTATATCTATATCGCTCTCCTTTTCTCAATATGGTTTAGAGAGAGAAACTGAGAGGGAGAGAGGGAGCGAATGGAAATGGATGAGAATGAAGTGAGGCTATTTATAGGGAGGCTACGGTTACACATTTCCACGTCACCCTCCCCGATGTGCGTCCACGTGGCTTTGGCGGTAAAGCGTGTTTCAGAGTTGTACCCCGTCATTGGGCTCCATCCGGCTTGGTGACAACGGGTTAGGGTTTTGGTTCTTTGAGTGAAGTTACAAAAATACCCCTATTTTATTTTTTAATAAGGAATGAAAAAGTAGGATAATTTTGATGAAAGGGAAATGTGATCTATTTGAATTTGAACACTACGTTTTTGGATATTTAGCAAGAATGGATTACATTTTGGTTCTTGCACGAAAAGAAAACCTGAATTCCTAACGTGAAAGTATATAGCTCCATTTTTGGTGTTTGAGAAGTCGTACCCTAAAATTAGGGTTTGAATATTATGTATTTGAGAAACTTTCTTTAAATGGTGAAAGTATAGGGTGGTGTTAAATTAAACAAAATTAACATACTTATCATATTTACTTAGAAAAAAATATAAGTTGAGACAACAATTAAAAGAAAAACTGAGAAAAAGATTTATGGTTTGTTAGCAAGGAAAAAATAAAACGAAAAACCATACCAAAAAAAAAAAAAAATTAGAATTGTGTTTCTTGATGTATTTCTTGAAATTTTCAATGGTTTTTTTTTCAAAATATCCCCCTTTTTATTTTTTATTTTTTAAAGTAAGCTCAACCATGAATACAATTTATAAATTGCTCCATTGTAACTTTGATAGATAATTCGAAATGAAATTTAATAGCATATCTCAATGGATAAAGGACGAGTATATTTTCCTTTTTTCCTTCCACTCTCTTTTATTTTTTATTTTTTTTTATAACATAAAAAATTTCTTTGTTGGTTTTATTTTTATCAAAATACAGTATTTGCATTTCTTTTTTTTATTTTATTCATATGGCTTCCCATAAATATAAGCTCTGAATTTTAGAAGGCAAATCTCAAGAACTCTACAATAAAAAGCATAAGCAGTTGCACATGCCTGAGCTTGTTACCAATCATCAATTTTACTTGTGATAAAAGAGTCTCATCACAATGTGATTCCAAGTTTAGATTGTCAAAAGTCAGAAAAAAAAACAGAGATATTGAGTAGGTCGGTTTAACTTAAAAAAACTCATTTTTAATTGAAAACGAAATAAGTAAACTATGAAGTTACGTCGCGCAAGTTATCAATTAAATTCTATAATTTAGGCTTTTGATTTTTACTTTTTGTTGTGGTTTAGGGGCATATTCCTATTTATTTTTGCTAAAGGTTGAGTTGAATCCGGATTGTTTTGTAGTTTTTGGTTCTTTAGTTTAGTCATTCGGAGGTTATCACTAATCTTTCATGATGATTAGAGGTTGTTTTCTAGTAGGCTAAATTTTAGCCTTTATGCTCCACTATAAATAGTTGAAGTGATACTTTTACCATTAGTTTCCAAATTCCATACAAATGGGGCATTTTTTGTTGGCAGGGTTGGTAGAGCTTTTAGCTCTAGTAGATGTGTTTATATTCGAGTTTTTTTTTTTTTTTTTTTAATTTGTTAGGATAAAATAAATAATAATAAATAAATTAAACTAAAATTTTCCATACGAATACATAGATGATATAGATATCAAAGGTTCAAAGAGAAATATTGTTACAAGAGAGAATTGTCCCACATCAAATTTGAATAGGAAAGTGAATGTATATTTTATATGAGTTGGGTATCCCACCTAATAACTTAAGATTTTGGGTCGAATTGCAAAACACCCGTTACAGCCTTCCTAGGTAAACAGGATTGCTCGACCGCAACGAGAGCGTCCGAAATTCGGGTGGAGGAAAAAGTGAATGGGTATTATATGAATTGGGTGTTAAGATCTTAATAACTTAAGTTTTTAGGTTGGATTACGAAACACTCAACCCGTAACAAGTATCCATTAAAATAACCTTGTGATATAACCTCCCCTTCTAGTCTAATTATAGGATCCATTATAATAAATTTTTTTATTTATGTAATAAGATATAATTGGTTAATGACACGAATGACATATTTAGTATTACCGGTGCAAAAAAATCTTTCTCGAGCTTTGGCATAGACAAAATGGGTATAATATACATGTTTTTGCAATCGAAATTAAAGGCAAATTCTAAGCTTAAAACTATACAGCACTGGCCTCAACTCTATTCAACTAATAGGGCCAAACAACATGCCCTCAGTCAAACCATAGTTCGTGGTTCAATTTTACCTTGTTAGGATGGACCGACATCGCCCTCAGTCAAACCATAGTTCGTGGTTCAGTTTCACCTTGTTTGGATAGACCGACATCGCCCTCAGTCAAACCATAGTTCGTGGTTCAATTTCACCTTGTTTGGATGGACCGACATCGAGCATTAGAACCTCAGAACCTGGTTGATTTAACAGTTCGAGTTAGGTTCACTTTCCAAAATAATAATGGGCTCCATAGGTACATTACCAAATTGGACCTTGAGTATAGTGGGTTGTCCTAAACCCTTGTGCTTGAGGACATGTTAATCTGCCCAAGTTGTAACCCAACATGTAAGATAGTCGTCATCATGATTAAAAAATAAGATTGACCACGTAAATTCTCTTCTTGTTATTGTTTTATTTTTTATTTATTTTTATTTACCTTCAAGTCATGTCTTTTATTATATTTAATTTTTTAAAGATTGGTCTTTTTTTTTTTTTTTTTTTTTTTTAACCAGTGCATCTATCGATATAATCTTATACAGTATAGGCTAATCAATTTGACTTGTGTTTTACGAAAAGAATATTTGTTTCAACATCAATATAGAGAAAACCCAAAATAAAATTAAAAAAAATGATATCACATGAAATTCGAAACTTTTAAAAGTCAACAAAGAGATAAGACTTGGGCATCTATAATAAAGATGAGTACAGAAACGATAATGACATACATGCAAGGTTTTCTTTATCCAGTAGAATCTTGTGAGAAACATAATAAAAACTCAAACTATTATATAATAGAATAAAATGACAAAAGAAAACAATAAACAAGCATATCAGGACCATATCACACAAGTAGTGTTGCAAAAATGATAAATATCTTGTTTTTTTAATTCACGGGGTGTCAAAAAAGGGTCCTGCTTCAGAAAGGATAAGCCAACCACATCAGCTAATTACTATAGGTGCAACAGAATGTTATTCTCTTCATGAATGCTCAAAAATATGCCAAAGTCATGCTGACTATGTGCCAGCAGCCGCGGTAATACAGAGGATGCAAGCATTATCCGGAATGATAGGGCGTAAAGCGTCTGTTCGTGGTAAGTGAAATCGGAAATTTACGACAAGACACAAACTTAACAGAGAAGATGTTTTTTATGGTCGGTAAAACTAGTTTCAAGTTACCAATAAAATCCTCGGAAGAGAATGAACTTCTGTTCAATTGGTATCCTAGCTAATTCGCTATTGCACACTACTGCGAGCAATTGTGAGTTCAAAAACCAGACAAAACATGAGGACAGGATCAATGGAACTAGGATTATTCTATTGTCTAACATATGTGTGTAAAGGACGAGCCTCTTTCACCCCAGTTGATGAGTAATACCTTGTTGGTGTTGGCAGCCTCTAGTTTGATGCGTCGGGCTGCAAGAGGAAGGTAGAATATCAAGCAGGTTCATCAACCATTGTGATGTCAAATGAAGTTTCTATTTCTTGCTCGCGATTCCTCCTCAACCTTGGCTTAGTGTTGAAATATCACCTGATTCAAATTTCCATTTGTAAATGAGGATAATAAAGGCATTAGAAGATTCCTTAAAAATGAAATCAATTGAATTACACAATACATCTTCAAATGCCAAGAAAACATCAGAGAAGAGATTATAACTTGAAGACTTAAAAACATATTAGGGTTGTGAAGATTGTTGTAAGATTTAAGTTCTCCAGACACTAGAAGAACAAATTTCATCAAGAGATCAACTAGAGATTCCACATGCTTGCAAAAGAGTGTATCTTGAATGGATTCCACACAAACCATAACGGACGTTCATCGGCAGATGGGGCAGGGTGGTGAAAGTAGTAGTAGTTGAGGTTCCATTGTTCATTCCTCTTTCCATTCTTGTCCAACATGAAGTTCCAAACACACAAGCACTTTCTGAAGTCAGCATCAAGCTGTTAAACTTAGATCAGTCGATGAAGTTACCTGCTGGCTTCAGCAGGTAAGATCTAAAGTTCCTTGAAATGTCTTCGCAATTTGGAGACAGGTAAAACAGATGGCAATGCCCAGAAGAAAGGAACACACTATTCAAAACTGGGATAAAAAAGACAATTACTTAGAAGATGGTAGAAACCCTAATGAAAATCTGCCAGTAAATGATAATTAACATTTGGCTGATCCTGTTCAATTCCGTGTGTTGGAATTACAGTTTTGTGAAGCAGACTTCCGTTGAATTTGCAAGAGGTTTCCCTTAAGGAAGATTGGCGAGTGGGGATTACCATATAGGGAAAAACTATGGATTCAATACAAGGAAGAGTTCCATTGAATTCATCAACTACCTGTGTTCAATGAAAATTTCTTTAGAAAAAGAATTTTCATCAACAATGACAAGAAATGTTCAAACAAGACCCTCCACATACCGCCCTAAACACACACAAGATAATGTAGTTCAGCAACAAAAATTAATTGCTTTCTTAAATGAGACAGCTACTAATAGAAAGGAGCTTGATCCAATCAAGATCACCTATCACATTTTATAACAGCAAGATAAACAGAAACATAGGTTTCAATTACAAATCAGAAAGTTTCCAAGTTGAACTGGATTACTAATACTTTTGACAGTAAAGGAAGCATTTTTGTTACTAAAGATCACATATCTTGCCAGTTCAACAGCGAAGTTTGGCCATTAATATTCAGGAAAATAGTTCTTTTTGAAGCAGAAGCTTGTGCTATCTATCAATTGTTACAAGTGTGCCATCACATGAAAATCGGAGAGTAAAACACTTCATAGGAGCCTGCTACAATTTCTGGTTGTAATAATAAAAAAATAAAAAATTGTGCATATTATGTCTGTACTGTTTTTAAATTAATCCCAATATTAAAGACTCCCCCAGTTAACTTCTCCAACAAATTTGAAAACCAAATAAATAATGTCTCAATTATCAAACATGTCAAAAGTGCTACTGTAATATATACAGTAAATCTGAAATTAAATATATATATATATATTGTTAATTCTGAGTGGAAACTTAAAATAATTGTACTTTCTGACGCTTGAAAGTAGAATTGTACAAGCGTAGAGAATTACTTTTATTCTCTTTTTTCATTTTTCTTTACCATTGAGATTAGAGGAATGTAAATAATTAACGTGGATCAAACTAAATGAACATAAAAATTCCACCTTCTCTGTTTATGATTTTCACTACCACAAGGACTCTTATTATGAGGAGACTCATTTCAGTTTATACTACAACCCAATTATTATCAATTAAACAAATATAGCATACTAGATTAGTTTGTCCTACCCTACGCCCAAGGTATCATCAATTCAACAAATATCTTATACTAGATTCAAAATCAGGAATCAAGTTTGTAATTGTCAACTACACAAATACTAAGCAAAAAGAATCAAGACACATACAGGAACCCATAAACAAAACAAAATCCGAAAAAAAAAAAAAAAAAAGGCCTGAGTGGTTTACAAATTCAAAGAGTGAGAAAAAATGACAACAAAAGGAAATCATTTTTCCTTATTTGGTTACCATGGGGAAAAGATCACAGAAGGAGAAGGGAGAATTTTACATTTCATATTATCATTTCCATTTTGTTTTTGAGATTTTATAATTATTATTATAATTTGTATATCATTTAAGCAGAAGACAAAATATGGAGGAAATCACTTTTCCTCTTCTTTTTCCTTTCCCTTTCCTTCCCCCTCACTAAATTCATAAACAAGACAGCCTAGATAACTGATAAGGGAAGCTTTTCTCTCTTTTTTTGGCGAATCTCTACTATGTGTTGGTATTGAGTAATGGCTTTTAAGATGACACTAGGCAAAATAAATAAATACATTTTTAAGACAGAAAATTTGCCTTTTCCGGTAAACAGGAAAGTTGCTAGAACTCGTAACTTTTATTTCACGATAGGCACAAACTTGGCATAGCCAGCAACCAAGAGAAAATTTTCAATGGAGAAGCCCTAATTCCACGAGGCTGAAAATAAGCTCACACAATACTTCTCGAGTTATCACACACCAGTTCCTATATTTAAATCATCCTTGTTTGTTTGATCTGTAAGCACAAGTCTGTTTTGCTTGACTCAGATAGACAATATCCCAAAAGTAAGACCAACAAACATCCTCATAACAACGTATTAATTAGATGCTTAATGCAGTTTGTCAAATCATCTATGAGAGTAAGATTGTCTTATACAAAATTATAAATATCACATGCCATATACGATGCTTAACCTCTCTCTCAATAACTCAGACAACATTATTCATTTACAGCTTTTTGGTCTTATTTTACCTGTCAAAGAGAGAGGAAAAAAAGAGAGGAGAGAAAACAGGTAGTGCTACTGGCCTTTCCAAAAATAGGATGTGATAGAAACTGCACAAAAGAATCTCTGACGGTAAGATTAAAAATAGAAACGTGGCGGTATAATGTGACACACTGAGATATCTTAAACTGCTAATTGTAATGCATAAGCATCAAACCTCATTCTACCATCTTTCTTCTTTTTCTTTTTCTTTTTCTTCTTTATTCATTTATTAATTTTTTAAGATGGAGTTTCAGGTTAGTCTATTCTGAATAAGTTCCGTAGATTTCTATTTCTAATAGTGTATATATATATATTTGGTTTTAGCAATGCATAGAACAGGGACCATTTCTCTTACTGTAGTAGCAGTCCAGTACAAAATCACTCAGGCCGACTCTATGTGAAAATTAAGCAAGTAAATTTAATTCGGACCACCCTGAGCACAAGACTCCTCTGAATACCAACACAAACAGAAGTTTCAAATGAACAACAACAACAACAACAACAACAATCATAATAATAGAACCAAAGACGTAAGCACTCAGAGCATGTGCATCATGAAATGTGTATCAAGACCCTCATTATTATCCCAACTGCATAAAAGTTTGTGAAAGTCGTAAGACTGATTACATTCTGTCAATGAAAACTGGAGTTAATTAAAAAAGTGGACAATACAAAAGTGTCAAGTCATTACCTCTTGACAAGCAGCTGTGAATGCTGACATGCGAAAAAATTTCCTAGTATGCCATAAGCATTGATTATCATTAGGTTGTGCGCCAAAATAGGTTGAATTCCAATTATTCAATGAGAGAATTTCTAAGTCGTGAAATAATCATCTTTCTTTATTCTGGGACAACTCAAATCCTGTTGAGGTTGGCTACATGAATCTAATTTCACTTCTCCACTCTTTTTAAAGCTTTTACTTCATTTAAACTACACCTACCTGTACTTTCTTTACGTTGAGGATAATACGAAAAAAATTAGGTCAAATTTTTACTGATTGACATTTCAACTAATGAAATATGATTGGCACAAAAACTGGATAGAAACCACACCAATATTCATCTTGTCATCAGCCACTTGCTTGACCATTCATTTACGAGCTGTTTGAAGAAAATGAAATAGTTTGGGAAAATTTTTGTAGGCCATAATGCTGTCAATTGATCATGGCATCTAGTTTATATGCATTAATTGTTGACTAGCAGAATTTCACAACTCTATTTGATAAGAAAGATAGATTTCCAAAAGTTCAACTTAAGTCAACTCAAAGCTTTAATTTTCTGGACAAAAAGATAACAAATTATATAGGCGGAAAATATAAATGAATATAAATGCTACAACATGCAATGAGCTGAAATCTCAAAATTAGATCACATTCAATGCCATGAGAAAAAGAGGTAAAAAAATGGAAAAAGAATATTTGGAAAAAGAAAACTTTGGCAGCCCATGCAGTGTCTTGTCTCATTGTAAACAACATCAAAGCCTTAAAACCAACTAATTGGAGTAGTTAGATGAATTTTCCTTTTCCATTCAGCTAATCAGTTGTTCAAGGAATATACCATTAAGTATATATAAACCATATGTCCCTTTTCACTATCTAAAGCCAAATTCCCTTTAGAATTTTCTCTCGTTGCAAGGCCTTTAACCAAGATCAAACTGCATATAATTTTAGTCTATGAGAATTGAACTACTTAACCCATCAATCTTTTTGAACTGCCTTGCTAGCATTTTTACAACTGTACTACAACAGTTTTGGCACAGTAAATGCCTAATAGAGAGTTCATTTCTCTGTGTCTCTCACAACAAAATCATCTAGGACAACTCCTGAATTGTCGCAACCTCTAGCTTCTCATAATTTCAATTGAATTTCATTCTACTTGATGTCTCTCAAAACCCTAATTTTGGTTATGTTCATTTCCGAAATAATCTTTTGACTACCCAACATTCTGTACCAAGAATCACAGCAGAGTTTATACCCATGTATACAATTTTCCTTTCAACTCGATAGATATTCAATAATCACATAACATTTCAGATTCCAGAAACACTTCAAGTTCAATTGTCCAACTCTTTAATGGGCATTTTTCTTTATATTTCCCCCTTCCTTCTTGATGTGAGAAAAGTAAAAGGTTACCAGTCCAAACGAGTATTGAATGGTTGCCTTTTCTTGTCTTATCTTTTTCCTAAATGAAAATGCTAAAAAGCTTCATTTCTTCCTTACCTTTTGTTGATCATCCTTTTCCTCGTTCTATATTTCTGGAACTTAGATGCAAGATTCAACCAGATTATATTTTGGAACCAGTAATGAATCCGTATTAAAGATTGGTCAACAATATTTAGTGATAAATGCAAACTTAATTTTCACACTTAAACAATTAGTTCTAGCCTATAGGATAAGAATTAATAAATAAATAAAAAGACCATTTCAGCACATTTGCATCTCCAGGCTTCATATTGATAAAATAAAAAAAAATGAAATGAACGAGGAAGTTGTAAAACTAAAATTTATATTAAAAAAAAAAAAAAAAAAAAAAAACATGGAAACAGGATAAGTATCACCTCTACATACTTTAATAATGAAGAATTTTATACCGGGGGATCAGGAAACAAAAAGATTTTTTTAGTATCAATGAGTGGACATAAATCATTACCTGATAGCATCATCACTACAAACAGTTCCACCACCGCAGCCAATTTCATTGCAAGGCATAAAGCATGAAAATCTGTTGTCTAGGTCTTCCATCACTGGAACTTCAGTATGGTTAATTGGTTATGCTTTTACTATTGTAGCTGAAAGCCTGAAACCGTCTTAATATGAGAACCATCTTGAGCAAAACCCAGAACTTCCCAAGGACAAATCATATGATGAAAATTTGAAAAAAAAAAGATCATCCACAGAAGTTGAACAAATATAGGAACAAATCAATCTAATAAAATCACAACTTTCATGCGGAAGTCAAAGAATAGCATCATCAGTGTCCAACTCGAGCACTGTTTCGGGTTCTTGATTGCTTCTTCTTATTCTTCCAGAACTCGTCTTTCTTCCCTTTCTTCTTCACTTTCAACATACCCATATTGCTATTAACTATACCAAGTAAAGCACTCTTGTCCTTCCTGTTCTTTATTGCAGCTTTCACATCCAAAATTACCCTGAGCTTATGATAAGATTTGGGATCTGGCAATTGCCCACTTTTTACCATCTGCTTATGATAAAAGAATGCCCTTTTGAAATCACGAACACGAACATAGGCGTATATCATAGTTGAATAAGTTACAGAATCAGGTTTTAAGTTGAGAACTGCCATCTCTTTCAGCAGTTGTGGCAACTTAGAGTGTTGACCTCCCCGTGCATATGCATTCATCAGCATATTATATGTCATTACTGTCGGGTGCAAGCCCATTTTCCCAAATTCACAGATTACATCTCTTGCTTCAGTGTAGTGACCTTGTTTAGCAAATCCATCAAGAAGAATGTTAAATGTCACCTGGTTCCCTCCAATTTTATCATTGATCATCAATTTCCATATTTTCATTAGTGTTTGGGTGTCACCGGCACGCCTAAAAGCGTCAAGTAGAGCAGTATAAGTTTCTATGGAGGGTTTCAAGGCTTCCTTTTGCATGTTTTCAAATGCCAAGTAAGCTTTCTCATGCCAGCCACTGACCGAATATGCATGGATAAGAGCTGTATATGAATGTGAAGATGGTTTTATACCAACTTTCTTCATCCTCAAGAATGCATCTGCAGCCATATCACTCATCTTTTTCTGCCTCCCATATGCACTGATCAGACATGTATATGATTTGACATTTGGCTCCAAGCCCACATTTTCCATCTCCAACAGCAGTTTCTCAACAATATCAGGTTGCATTCTCCTGCTGTATGCATCCATTAAAATGTTATAAGTAGCAGAAGTAGGCGAAATTCCCTTCGCCTTCATCTCGGCAAAGAGACCTTCGGCTTCTTCAACTTGGTTGGATTTATTGTAGGCATCCATTAAAGTGTTATACACAATAGCATTTGAAGGGATCCCTTTCTTTTCCATTTCTAATTGGATTATAAGGGCTTCCTTCTTAAGCCCTTCATCACAAAATGCTTTTATTAGAGCACCAAAGACTTCCAAACTCCATTTGACACCTTTCCTATTCATTCTCTCAAAGAAATCCCATGCATCTTTGGCACTGTTGCCCTTTTTCCTCATGATTGTAATCATAATAGAACATGTCACATGATCCGGTTGAACATTATTTGTTTCCATTGTCTCGTAAACTTTCCAGGCATCATCATACCTGATAGAAACACGTAACTATGTGTTAACATTAAGGTCTCTCTCATGCACACGCGCGCACACACAATGGTTCATATTGCTGGCATAATAAACATATAATAACAATTTAACGGGAAGTACTACAACCAACTGATAACTCAAGGGCTGAGGTTCAAACAAGAAATACTTAAAGGGGAATACTATGTGTGATAAAGAGAGGGAAAAAAAAAATGCCTTTCAAGGAAGTAAAACAATGATACGATGTCCTTTTTGTCCCCATCTACATTAACTAATTTTCACATATACTCACATTAAAGTATCAAACAGCATGAAATGCAAATGAATTCCGGAAAATTTCTCAAACACAGAAAATTCATGCATCCCAGAATTTATCTGGTTCCATATAATTATGACAATCAAAATGATTCAGGGACCATTGTCTTGTGCAATGGTAAAATGCTGCAGCTGCTAAGCATGGCAAAACAGCTTTGAGACTGATAGCACCCACAAGCTTGTGCAACCAATACAAAATATTAGTTCTGTACACCCTCCCAGCAACCCACATTGGTAGGATAACACAAGTTAATCCCACTTGATAATGAAGAAACTAACCTACAGTCCTCAATTGCAAGAAGCATGGAAAATAAGCATAAAAAAGAAATTCAAAGCATAGAATTATCATATGCTTTTTGTCCACAATTGTTTTAAAACTAAAATGTAGTTCAATGCTATAACATTCATACCTCCCACAGCACAACAGACCCGAGATTGCAGCATTGTAAACATGAACATCCCTGAATTGCTTTTCACTTGGCAAATTCCTGAACAAAAGCATTAACTTATCGCCCATTCCAGCTCTCCCCAAGATTGGTAACAAAACCGAACACGCCCTCGGTGTCACAAGCCCCTTGTCCTCCTGCAAACCCATCCATTCAAAGAAATACAAACAACCCATTGTAAGACCCTCCTGACCCATCAACCCCAAAAGCTCCACACACTCTCTCTCTCCAACCCTCCCTTCATAAGGACCCAAAAGCTCCCCCATCATCGAATTATCCGGTAAGTTCCTCGCAATTCCCAGAATTTCTCCGACAACACCGTGAACCACCGGGCTCGAATCAGAATTCTCGAAACCCAATTGCTCTTTTTTGCTTTTGGGTTCAATTTCAGTGTTAAAACCAGTTTTTTCTATAGAATCAGTGTCGTCCATGTCGGGAGATAGACGCCAAGAAGTGCGGCGATTCTTTTGGAGGGAGAGTTTTCCTTCGAAGCCAGGGTCCGGGTGTTGAGTGGAAGAGCGGGATTTGAAGAATCTGAGAATTGGGTCTTTTATCAAATCCAAGTTCTCCTCTGGTTGTAGTTCTGGGTCTTCTTCTACTGGTTCTGGTTGGAGAAAAGGAAGGAAAATGGGGGTGGTTGAGGAGAGAGAAGAGGAAGAATTAGGAGGAAGAGTTGCAGAGACTATGAGAGGTCTTGGGGATTTAGGGCGTTTGATTCCAAAGAGTTGAGGCATTGAACAACTAGGATAGGTATAAGAATAATGACTGTAAATTATGGGCAAAGAAGATGATGAAGATGAAGAAAGACACTGGTACCCGAGTTCCATGCTCTCTGTGTTGATTTGAGTTCTTCACACGCAGAGATTTTTTTTATCCATCTTCACACGCAGTTCGGTTTTGCAAAATCATCAAACAAAATGGACTTATTTTAACGACAAAACGGTGACGTATTGAACTCCAATACCAGAAAGAAAAGCAAAAAACAAAATTTTCCCTCTAGTGTTTTGTATGTCCATTTTTGTCCCATCAAATGCATCATCTAGTTCTCTAAAATTACTCACAAGTTTACCTTTTTTTTAACCTAAACATCAAAACTTACAATCTTTTGTTGATCTAAGCTAGCAATATATGTCACCTTTTTCTTGGAATATTTGGATAAAACTTTTTTCATTTTAAAGGATTAATATGTCTATGGTTTGTTTTTGGGGGTTTATTAACTCTGGACAAATTGATTACTGGGTAACAATTCCTAATTATTTTTGTGTGTTTTACGGAGTTGAGGACATTCTTGAATTGTGAAGCTGATAAGAACTTTGAAGTGAATTGCTTGTGAATTGCTTATTTTTGAGAATTGTAGGATTGTGACTCGTTCTTAGGTTAGATTCTGGAAGTGGGATTAAAAGCACTTCCTTCTATATAGTATTTAATGTGCCCGGGAAAATTTTAGTTATTTATTTAATTTTGAAATATCATGATATAGTCATAAATAATAATAATAATAATAATAATAACATGTTTAATGCTCCATTTAATAGGTAGGGGATGAAAAAATAGATGGAAGTGAGAGGATGGATGAAATTTTTATAGGGAAATATCTCTCACCTTTTGTTTTGTTAAATAGATAGTATAAATAAATAAAATGGTTAGTATAGTAGAAATGATGGGTAATGCAACAAGATAGTATAAATAAATAAAATGGTTAATATAGTAGAAATGATGGGTAATGTAACAATTTCTTTTATTTGGTTGGAGAGAAGGGAATTGAAGATTTTAATACAAAGTAGGTTTTTGTCTTTTGATAAATAATACAAAGTAGAATTTGATGGACAAAATTTGTAAATAATTGCAAGTTAAAAATGGTATTCTATATTTGTACCATCAACTATAGCCTTGTGGTACTTTATTGCAATCTAATAGGAAAAATTATTGATATTTGTACCATCAACTATAGCCTTGTGGTACTTTATTGCAATCTAATAGGAAAAATTATTGATTACAACGGTTGCAACGCTGACGTGGCATAATGGATGGCTACAAATACTCACAGTAGACCTATGATTCAAGTTCTCATATAGGAACAAAGTTGGTCACATAACTAATTTATTGCTTAAAAAAAGACCCAAAAAAACGTGCTAGAAGGGACGGCCTTTAACAAGAGAATGTTTTATGAGGGGGAATAGTAAAGTTTTTCTCTAATTTAAGTGGGGATAAATTTTAAAAAATTCAAATATATAATTAGAAAGAGCAAAAATAGTGGGTAAAATAGCAAAAAGAACAAATTTCAGAATTGTCCCATTGAACCTATCACAGGTCTGTTCTTGTGCTTAGGTATAAAATGCAAATATGGTAAAAATTTTGAGATAATGATGATTAAATTCAAAAAAATTGAATGGTAAACCACAACTGCATATAAAAGATATGTATAAATATATATATATAATCCAAATTCAATATTCACATTACACTTATATAACATGCAAATATAATGAAATTTTTTGAGATAATAGATGACTAAACTCGTGAAAAAATATTTACTTTCATTGCACTCAAAAGATGCTGCTAGCCTGTCACATGCGACTAGTTAAATGTTTGAGTGTGAGATCTTTCCATTACTAGTTAATTATGAAATGAAAATAATAAATTCAAAGACAAAATTTAATTAAAATTATAAAATGAAAATTAACTTGAACTATTGACCTTATCATTTGATAGGTAAAAAAGTATTATTATATTTCAACATCTTTAATGTTTAAATTTAGAATAACATGGTATCTTTAGTAAAAATAGAGAAAAATATTTTTTTACTAGTAAGTGGGAGATATAAAATTTTAAAAAGTTGACATGTCTTCTCTATACAAATAGGTAGTAAAGTAAGTCTCAGACAATAATGACCCTCAAATGATGATTTATAGCTGGATAACGACCCAATGCCCTCAAGGGGACATAACTAATTTATTGCCTAAAAAAAGAACCAAAAAAACATGTTTAGAAGGTACGACCTTTAACAAGAGAATGTTTTATGAGAGGGAATAGTAAAGTTTTTCTCTAATTTTAGTGGGGACAAATTTTAAAAAATTCAAATACATAATTAGAAAAAGCAAAAATAGTGCATAAAATAGCAAAAAGAACAAATTTCAGAATTGTCCCACTGAACCTATCACAGGTCTGTTCTTGTGCTTAGGTATAAAATGCAAATATAGTAAAATTTTTGAGATAATGTTGATTAAATTCAAAAAAATTGAATGGTAAACCACAACTGCATATAAAAGATATGTGTATATCCATATATATACACATATAATCCAAATTCAATATTCACATTACACTTATATGACATGCAAATATAATGAATTTTTTTGAGATAATAGATGACTAAACTCATGAAAAATATTTACTTTCATTACACTCAAAAGATGCTGCCTTACGTGCGACTAGTTAAATGTTTTGAGTGTGAAATCTTTCCATTACTACTTAATTATGAAATGAAAATAATAAATTCAAAGACAAAATTTAATTAAAATTATAAAATGAAAATTAACTTGAACTATTGACCCTATCATTTGATAGGTAAAAAAGTATTATTATATTTCAACATCTTAAATGTTTAAATTTAGAATAACATGGTATCTTTAGTAAAAATAGAGAAACATATTTTTTTACTAGCAAGTGGGAGATATAAAATTCTAAAGAGTTGACATGTCTTCTCTATACAAATAGGTAGTAAAGTAAGTCTCAGACAATAATGACCCTCAAATGATGATTTATAGCTGGATAATGACCCAATGCCCTCAAGGGGACTTACGAAGTTGGCAAGTTTGAGTAAGATGGCGTGGTGTTAGGGATGTTATGCAAGACTTAAAAACAGGTCATCTAAACCTCACATCCCCTCGCATGATGCTCCTGGTGGCCATTGGCACAGCCATAGGATTTGTGGTATCTCCACTAAGCTTCTTACCATTCTACAAGGCATTCGACATAGATAATTGTTACAAGGGTACTTGTCTCATGTCGAATCCGGATAGAATAATAAATGTATATAAATGTGTGATTATGCAGTACTACTTAATAACTTAAATTTTGGATAAATGATATCAAAACTAGACCTAGTTCTTGATCCGGTGCCACGGCAAGCGACCCGGCCCGGAAGGCGTCCAAGTGAGCCACCTGGATAAGCAGGGTGGTCTAACCGCAACGAAGACATTGCGAGTTCAAGTGGGGAAGAATATTATAAAGGGTACTTGTCCCATATCGAATCCGGATGAAAAAGTGAATGGGTATAGATGGATGGGTGCCTACCCGTTACAGCAATCCATATGCAAAATTCAAGCTCCTTATGCTGTGATATACAATTTCTAGTTGGCGCGTATTTTGCTATTGCAGGTGGGGAGTTTTAGTTGTGTTTGTGTGGCACATTCTTAACACCAAGATTGCTGGATTGATGGTTCAGGTGTGGATCCTTCCTGCATCAATTCTCGCTTGGCCTAAAAGCCTCCATTGGCAATTTTGGGGAACACGAGGATTGTAACATCCATTACATTACCAAACACCACCACCTTCATTATGAACACACTGAAAATAAAACAAAAAAACATAATTTATCTCAAACCACAAAATGAAACCACCTAGGAATGCCATGCTGCTACTAATAAATTAAACGATCACCAACTCAATTCCTTGAGGTACTATTCCTTCAAGCTGCTCCTTGGCCCGACTTCTTGCAGCTTCTTCTCTCTTGACACCGGAAGGGGAAGCTGGGATATGAAGATATAATGTATCGCGTGGATCAATAATAATTTTCTTGAGGGCAACTGCATTCTCTAGTAAATGCATGACGAATTCAAGATCACTTGTTCGACCAAAATACCCAAGGAACTCCACCTCCTCGACGTATTGATGGACGGACGCATTTTATTTTCCTCTTTATTTTCCTTCTTCCAATCCTATGATATGCCCAGTCAATCTGCAAGAAGGAAAATAATGAACTAGGTTTGCACAAGATTGACTAACAATATAAAACATGAAAAATTTCCAGGTTTTTTTTTCTCTCTATCTCCAGTGAGTAAAAATGTAAAGATTGCCGAGAACACAACTTCGCAGCAACTCTAACATTCTCTCATGACAAGCACAATGAAGTAACCCATCCACCTCCACAATAAAAAAGAATATGAATTAAAAATAAATAAATAAATAATAATAATAATAATAATAATTCTGCTATACCAATCAAGTCCCCACACAAAAGTAGATATAACACAAATTATAATCTTGATCCATTTTTTTTTCAATTGATTGACTTTCACGCCCTATCCATCATGTAGAAGTTAGTTTTCAAAGCACACTAGTAAAAAAATATTGGGAAGATAACACCAATTTCCCCTAAATTTCGACAATAATAAATGCGGAGAACTTTTGCATTTTCCTGAGGTCAACAACAGCTGTTGTGATTTATTAACTTTTTAGATTACTCTACTGCTATTTAACCATTAAATTTTTTGCCTAGATATCGAGAATTCCTGTCATTTGGTAAAAAGAATTAAAGAGCCTCACTAAACACTGAAAGCTGCAACTATGACTTTCATTTTATTCCAAAAAATAAATAAACAAATAATAAAATAAAATAAAACCCTATGCCAAGCACATTCAGTATACATATAGTGAAGTGATATTTAAATTATTACACACAAGCATCTCTACACCCTCAAAACGTGTGCATGAAATCATATCCTAAAATTGGCAATTAGAAAATACCTGAATCCAAGTAACATAGATTGAAACCCAATATAGAAAATTTAGAAACAATGACTCACTAAAACATTCTAGACCTACCCCTCTCTACATTTATGTATATAAACATATATATTTGTAGTGTATATATGTTGTCTATGG